ACTTCGCGACTTGATCAATCTGACCGAGCGATGTAGAGGCAAACTAACCATCTTCTCCTTCCCTCCACACAACTGTTCAATAAAAAAACTTTCTCCTTTTGACAATGGTAGCGTGACTGGAGCCATTCGCGAGTTTCGCGCGGTGCATGCACGGTGTCAACAATGCGCGGCTAGCGCACAGCAATCGTTCTGATCGCGCCACGAGTTGCTCGAGCGACCAGAGGGACCAAATAGCGAAGTATGGACGTATTCTCGAAAAAGTTACCACTTACCAGCGAAGAAGTGATATCCTCCTCCTTTTCCGTAATGTTTTCTTCCTTTATCGACATTGTAGACTCGTCCAAGGATTGCTAAGTAGACAGGCCTGTAACATCCTTCTTAGGCTACATAAAACACCATCGATCCACAGCATTCAAGCCAACGGACAAAGGAAAGAAGTTAGAAGTTAGGCCTTCATCACAGGTTACCTGATGCTGATCTTCCGCCAAAAAAAAGAAAAAATTTAGAAATTTGGTTACACAAATACCTTAGCAAATGGAGTAGCGTAATCGAAAGAGACCCCGTCGTACTACAAGAGAAATAAATCATCAAATGAAACTAACCGTGACGGTCGACTACCATCAAAAAGGGAAAGTTGTTCAGCGTTCAGAATTTGCATTTCCTGCTCTATGTTCACCTCAGGTTCGATAACCTTGAAATACATCGAGTAAGCAATCGCAACTAGTGAAAGAACAGCACTAGAATTAGGAAACATACCTTGACGTCATTCTGAGTTGCCTTACGTTTTGGTACCTTCATATTACTCTTGGCGCCCCTCCAAGTTTCTCCTAGCCACGCCATCTTCTCTCGAGTATATTCGTACTGAAACTCTCAAATGTATAGTAAAAAAAAGAAAGAATGGAAAAGGTTGTGGTAGCTCAAGAGTAGCAATTGATAAAATGAAACTAAACTATTTTGTTGTGATCTTCTCTGAAAACTACGAAAAATTCTCCTTCCTGACTGAAGAAGTTCGATGAGTTAGTTGGTCCAAAACGATTGATTTGCAATATTAATCAAAAAAATTTTTCGAATTGACATTTTTTATGGAAGTCAGATTACTTACGAAGCGGTACACCTATACCACCTTCCTTTACGAACTTCCTTAGATGCATCTATGCATCCTTTCTGACGAGGTTTCACAGTGGGACCGGTCTTTCGTAAAGGCTGTAACTTACACGTGGGAAAAGAGAGAGAAGCGTTGTTTGGTCACGATCCTCCTCCAAGATTCATCACATCCGACCGACATCTAAGGATACTTGTCAAGTCGAAGCCTCTCTCCTCCTTTTTCCCACGTGTAAGTTACAGCCTTT